CTTATTATCTGCCACTCCTAAGACTTTTTCTGTTCCTTTTCCTTATCTTCTGAATTAATCATTCACCTAGCCTGTAGGAGAAAACTGTCCCATAACCCAGCCTCTCATTATCTTATCCCTCTCTTCCTCTAGCCTACTGCCAAACATGCTCCACCGTTTTAAATTCCTGTTTCATAATAAACAAACTTTCCTTCCTGTTCCATGCTGGTCTTGGAGAAGTAACCTTTGCTCCTCACTGCCACTTCCATACTCTTACCTTTATATTCCTCACTGTACTCTTCTACTAAATCAGGATTTTTCACCCAATTGAAATCATGGTAGCTATTGTATACACCATGCCTCTCTCTACCCACCTTCTTTTCTCTATTTGAGCTCAGCTTCTGGATCACTGTCTTCCTCTCCTCAGCTCTTTCCCAGATACTAGGGAATATCGTGTTAATAATAATGTCCCCTTACCTTCCTATCCTCTCAGTTCCTCAGCTTTCTTTAATCCTGTGATCTATTCCTTCACTGCACCTCTGTCACACATAGGGATGATCAAACATTGGATCTCACCATTACCCCCAAATATTCAAAGATATCTAAACAAGGAGTCCATCACCTATTATTCTACCCAGGGGGGTGCTATTAAGTGTTTAAGTATCTAAAAACAAAAAATGTACACATGGCACACTTTTAAGTTTAATCTGCTTTATTAACATTTCCGTCATCACTTTCTTAAGTCTAGACAGTCAACAAAACAACAGCCCCGGTTTGTAGCTTTATTACTTTCTGAGATGTAAATGCTTATCCTGAAAATAGTTGAACCACATTGAGTTTGTTCATGCTGACTCTACCACATCCTTGATTCCACCTCTCCATATGCTTCAGCCCTTCTAAACCTATTCTTTGCTTTCATCAGAACCTCCAATACCTCCACTCCTTTGTACTTTCTCAGGCCATTGCCCTTCATTGAAATCACTTTACCTCATGTCCAGTTTTGACCCTGTTGATACCCATTTAAACTCTGCATTGTCCTCTGATCTCAAATTCTTTACCTTCAGGTCCTTTTGCCTCTTATCTCTCATCATAATTGTTCTCCCCAAACAACTCCTCCACCTCTAGTCATTTTCAGATGAATGGGAGCCAGAAATCTCACAGTCTGTTGACCAGGGATGTTAAAAAATTTCCTATTATCCAAACTCAACAGGACTCTCACTGCAGCAAGGCAATCCATTTATTCCTCCATAATTGATTCCGTACATTACTGCCCACAGAAGCTATTCTTAACCTTTCTTCCCTTCTCAATCCTTTAGTTATCTTTCCATTCTTAGTGGATGTTACTCCTCCTCCCTTTAGCGGTCCAGCCAAACTAGTTTTCTCTGCCATCTGCATTCACAACATTTCATTTTCCATTTCCATGCTTTTCCACTGTTCATCTATCTTGTCTGGATTGTACTTACTGCTTGCCTGTGCTTCATAAAGTTCCCTTCTTTCAAAAGTCCATTCAAACACTGGCTTCTGTATGGGTGGATCCTCCTTATTTCCCCAGCTGCTATTATGTCTCTCCTTCACAAACTTTCTTTTAATTAATTGTTTCATATTTCTTTTCTTTATATAGGGTGCCCTAAAAGTCTCAGTGCAGTTTTCATTAAAATTGCATGAAGACTTTGGGAATACCCTGCAATCAGTGTGTGTGTGTGTGTGTGTGTGTGTGTGTGTGTGTTCTGCATTTTAGGGAATGGATATTTGATTAACAATATAACCTCCACTAAATCATCATAATCAATATGATGATGGTCAGATTTATGTTAATTGTTTGTACATAGAGCTAGGAGGTTGAAAATATTCATACTACTAATATGTCAATAGTGTGGAACTTGCAGTTAGGAAAATTTCAGTTTGAATCATTAACTAGCTATGTGACCATTGTCAAGTTGGGATAGTACAAGCAAGAAATAAATGAAGGCTAAACCAGGTTAATGGCCTTGTGAGTGGTGAAAAAAGGGGTCGTGTGAGAGAAATAATAATGTAGAAGTATCATCTGTAAGACTTGACAATGATTAGATATGGCAGCATGAGGAAGAGAGAAGAGTCAACACTGACTTCTGCAATAGAGATTATTTTATTCTTTGACATTATATCCCCAGTGCCTAGCATAGTGGCTGGCACTGGGTAGTTGTTTGATGAATTCTTGTTAATTGATTGAATCACAGATGGTTGGAAAGGTTCTGCTGGTCTTTGGAATTTCTCTCTTGTTAATTAGAGGATGAATACAGCTCCCAGAATTTGAGGTCCATTTCCAAGAAAGGATAGTATTGCCTTTATAGGACCGTGTGTGTGTGTGTGTGTGTATACACATTTATTTAGCCATCATGCATTTATTTTGTTATGCTTCTCTCTGTTAAATTACAATTTATTTTAAGATTAATGTTCTAAGATAATTTTTGCCTCCTAATTATTGAATAGGAAGATAAAATCATAAAATATTATTTTCTGAGTTGACTTTGTACTTCATGTCCCAAACTGTCTTTAAAAAAAAATTACTGGTTGGGGGCTCCTAGTTGGCACAGTGGATAGAGCATCAGTCCTGAAGTCAGGAGGACCTGAGTTCAAATTCAGCCGCAGACCAAACACTTGACACTTACAAGCTATGTGACTCTGGGCAAATCACTTAACCCCAATTGCCTTAAAAAAAATTACTGGTCAAATCCTATTTTTACAGCTTTCTGGATTGAGATAATTTTAGAGCCAGAATCCATTAGATCAGTATACTTTTTTGTGTCTGTCACATAGGTGTTCAGTAAATCAAATTTAATATAGTACAGTATTATTAATTTTATAGATTAAAAAATGTGAATCTTACAGAGGGTGGGTAATTCATCCAAGGTCATTTAGCTCATTAGTGGTAGAATTGAAACTAGAATGTGTTCATATATGTTCAGTTGTTGTATATTTTTTACATGGTCAGAGTTTGAACCTAAGTCTTCTGTTTCCAAATACAGTGCCTTTCCAGTTGCAACATGCCATTTCTGTGGATGGTTTATGATCTGCATCATTGGAGGAATTATCTATTGATCAGATTTCATATTCATTGGACACATTATAGCCTGAGATTTGATCTTTTTCTTGTAGTTATTGTAATGATATTTTTGTATAATTGAATTTTACGTGTAGTAGCAAATTTTATCTGTGCCCTTCAAAATGATTTGTTTTTTTTTTAAACTTTAGAGTTATTTAGGTTGGACCTGCATTGAAAACATAAATCATCACAGACCCTTTCTCTTAATTAAACTCTTTTCTGAATGGTTACTTTCCTTCTCTGTAAATCACACCTGCCGCTGCCGCAACCACTTTCCAAAGTAAATAAAGACTTTGAGTGAGCTCTGAAGCAGCAGTTGTCTAGCTCTCTTTCTTCAGATTAGGCATACTATGTTAGGGGAAGAGTAGTAGAACAGTTTTAGCTGACAGATTAATAGGATGCTTTTAGGAGCTGCCCACCTCACTCAAAAATAATCTCTATGGAGATTAGATATATCATAGGGACTCACGATAACATGGGGATCATGTCTCTCCTTGTTGCCTACAGCATTTGGCAATTTTACTACAAAACAGTTGAACTTAAAAGTCTTATTTTTCTACTTCAAAAGAAATAAGAATAGCTAGACATGCTTAATCTTTTTACTTTTTTTTAAAAAGGTTTGCTTGTAAAATAGCTTGTGGTATTTTTATTGCACTTTTTAAGGCCTCTTTTATTTTGTGACTTAAAGTATCATTTTACTAGTATGAGATTTATCTTTGTAGACACTTTTCTTATAATAAAATTCTGCCATGCTATCTAACTCATTATGGAGATTTTCATTTACTACACTTAATAATTTCCTCTGAAAATTCCAAATCTAAATCTTCCCTAGAATTTGTGACATATTGATATATGGCTTAGAAAACAAAGTGGTTTGGTCATGTAATGAGAACAGAAGCATTTGTATTGATGCAAATGTAGAGAAAAATACTCTATACTTTGGGTGGACCCTTCTTGAAGAATTATGGGAAGGAGAGATGAGCAAGAGTTGCACAGAGTGGAAAGGTATGGTTGAATTGCCATCTGTACTGTTGGAAGGAGTGAGATCATGGAGTCTGCTGCTGTTCCACAGCTCATCCAAAGCCTTCATTAATTTTGGAAAGTGGTGGCAACAGCAGAAGCAAAGTAACCATTCTGAAGAGATTAGCTCATGGAGTTATAGTAGCATGGATATTTCATTGTATTGTTTTATTTTGAAGCAATTAATTTTTTGGTGGTAAAATGGAAGATCTTTTTAAGCATTAGTATAACTCAAGATGAGAGAACTAATCTGTGTGCTGTTTTATTAGTGACGATGAAAACTCCAAACATACACTGAATCACATTCTTACCTTCTTGCTGTACCTTCGAAATATTTTGGGAATTACCATTCTTTTTTTAAATATATGTTTAAATATAGGCCTAACATAGTTCTAAATTTAGTGAGAATGTTTCTAACATCAGTATCAAGGGAATGTGAGCTAGAGATGACCATAATTTAACCCATATAGAGATTATTGTTACCCCCATGCTAAAATAACTTGTGTGTTTACAGATTTAGAATTGCTATCAGAAACTCTTGAAAAGGTATAAGATGCCACTTTTTAATGTCCTAGACCTAGCAACATAAAGAACTATGCAAATATAGAATTACTACACCTTTCTTCAGCTTCTGGTAGCCATACAAAAGGCTGTTGCACATCAGAGGTAGATGGGAGAACTCTAGTCAGATTATCTTATATTCCTGGTCCACAAGAGAGCCAGAAATATATTACTCTCTTGTTGGGAAAGAATGATTTCAGCTGACAGGTAACTAAAAAGTAATTTCTTAGTGAGTCTAGAGAGATCCTTTAGAAATTTCCTTTAGAAATTAGAAGAGGCAGTTAAAGAATAATCTTATTAAATGACATCTTGTGTTTATTTTTCCTCATCTAAAACTTTAATGCATTTCTTTTTGCAGGGATATCAAGCCTGACAATATTCTGATGGATGTGAATGGTCACATTCGGTTAGCGGATTTTGGTTCTTGCTTGAAACTCATGGAAGATGGAACAGTATGTATATTTGGAAAAAATTTGTCTCACAGGTTTCCATTGAAACCTTTTTTCTTTACCTATGTGCTTTACAAATCCTTTTTGGAAACTGTTTCTTATAATAGAGTTTACCTGTAAAGCCATTTTTCTAAAATTTTTTGTGTTTCAAACTTAATAGTCATTTTCAAAATAAAACCAACAGAGTAAGGAATGAAATCCGACATGTAAGAAAAACTCATAACTTTTGTTCATTACACAAAAATTTTATAAAAATTTAAATAAAATAATTCTTATTTGCTTTTATACCCTTTTATCTCTCCTTTTCCTGTGTCGTTGGCAGATTTTATTATAAATTTTCTTATAGTCATAATCAGTATGATGTGTTTTCTGATTTTGTTTTCTTTACGTTACTATGGTCTTTCTGTGTTTCTTGTAATTCTCCTATTTGTCATTTTTATAGTATCCTTAATTCCATCATGGTGGCGGTATGGCATAGCGATAGAGAACTACCCTCAGAGCCAAGAAGATCTAGGTTCAAGTCTCACCCCATGTGGCCCCTGTCACATACTGGTTTGTGTCCCTGGGCAGGTTCCTTAATCTCTCACTGGTCTAGGCTAGAACTGTCAAACACACTGCATGCAGCTCACCAACATTCCTGAGTTGTGGAATCCTGAACCAAATTAAAATGTGGTTCTTATCTGATTTTAATGTGTTGCTATATTACTAAAAAAAAGAAATATATAAATATGTTCAGTTTTTAAAGTCAATATGCAGGCTTCAGGGATCTTGATGTATGTTTTAATGGCCCTTCTTTGATTTTGACATCTCTGCTACAATGTCAGGTGTCAGTCTGCATTAATATAAGGATTTTTCTCATCATGGATTTTTCTATACCAGTAAAATTCTGGTCCAGTACCTATCCCTAATATTTAACTTTGTTAATATACAAAGTTTATTCAGCCATTTCCCAGTTGCATTATATATAATTTATTTCCATTTGGCTTTAATTGATAGAAAATGTTTTGAGTATTTTTTTTTAATAGATGGGCCTCTTTCCTTTTGAAAATGTCCTTAGGCTATGGCCCTAGTAATTGAATTACTGGATTAAAGGCATGTAATTTAAAAATTCTTAATTTAAAAATTGATTTACTGAAATATTACACAAGTTTTTACCTCTTTAAGGAGTATAATAGCTTGCCTTTTCCTCACATTCCCACATATTGAATTTTATAATTTTAAATGATATTGCCATTTTGTTCGACATAAGACAGTATCCTAGCTGTTCTGATTCATCTTCTTTATAGAAATGAGTGTCTTTTGCCTATTTATTTATTGAGGCATGGATATTATGATTATATGCTTATAACACAAAATCCAGATTTCAAAAACTGAATAGAACCAACACCTGAACAAAAAAGATTCAGCATCCCTAACAATGGTCACCTAGACACCCTTTTTTTTTTTTTAAATATTGGTGAAGGAGAATCCACTAACTCCTGAGGCAACTCACTTCATTTTTGATAGCTCTAATGATTAGGAAATTGTTCTTTAAATCTATATTTCTATAACTTCTGTCCACTTTTCTTAGGTGCTTTGGGGTCAGTTAGAAAAAGGTTAATCCACTCATATTGAGTTTCTAATCTTAAAGGTAAATTGTTGGTAGTTTGATTTATTTGGTATTAAATCTATAAATAGTATTGACATTTTTTTACTATCTTGATTCATTCTAGCCATTTACATTGGATAGCTCATTACTTATTAGTTCTTCCTTTAGTTGTCTCTATGTGTGTGTTGGTGGATTAATGGCCAAAATTTTTGAGATATTTTGTTGTTGTAATTGGCATTTCTTTCTATTATCTTTCTCTTGATGTCTCTGGGAGACCTCATGAAATCATCTTTCATCCTTTCATTTTCACTCTCTAGGTTTATTTACAGTTTAAGTATTTGCTATGCAGTAGATTGTTTATTCATTCTCTCAGGTTCTTTTATTGAATTGTTTAATTCATTCATACTTGAAGTCAAGATTGCAATTCCTTCCTCTTTTAAGTCAGTACTTTTTTTTTTCCTTAAGGAGATGATGCTAATGATAGGGTATAGGCCCTGGCAACACTTTCCCTGAACTCTCCCACATCTCCAGTCTCTGAAGTTCACCTAAGACTATAATCCTCTCAACTGGCCTTTCTTTGTAGCCTATGCCCAAACCTTCAATTCTCTCTTACTTTCTAGAAGACTTGGGTGGAATTCATTTGAGGCAAGATCTGCATCTCTGGCTATTGAACCCTTTTGGGGGGTTCCCATTGATGAGGTCTAGAGGTTTAGGGGTGCTGGGACCCCAAAATCACAACATGAGGGTCCTGCCCAAATGAATTTGATCCAAGCCTTCTTTCAAGGCTTATTAAAGGCTTATTAAAGATCCGCCATATTGGCCAGACTCTTAAGGAATCTGATCATTTGTGATAGTGCTTCTATTTCTTTGGTCTTAATGTTTTCAACTAAGAACATTTTATTTTCTCTTCCTTCCCTTCTTTTCTTTCTCCCCCACTCCTACCATGGGAAAGGAAAAACAAAACCATTATAAAAATATGCATAATAAAGGAAAACAAATTCCCATAATGGCCCTGTCCAAAAATATGTCTCATTCTACATCTGTTTCTTTTATATCTTTGAAATGAGACTTTTATCAGAGAAGCTTGTTGCAATTCCTTCCTCTTTTAAGTCAGTACTTTTTTTTTTTTCCTTAAGGGGATGATGCTAATGATAGGGTATAGGCCCTGGCAACCCTTCCCCTGAACTCTCCCACATCTCCAGTCTCTGAAGTTCACCTGAGACTATAATCCTCTCAACTGGCCTTTCTTTGTGGCCTACGCCCAAACCTCCAATTCTCTCTTACTTCTAACCTATCCCAGCCCTTCATTGTCTGGATGGCCCTAGGTCACTTCCCACCCCTTAATTCCTTCTATACTCCTTCCACCTAGCCCAGGTCCTTGACATTTGCCTGGGCCACCCAGCTCTTCTTGTTGCCTCCCACTCACCCCAGACTACAGTCCACTCCAGGCCAGATCTTCCCACAGATCTTTTTTCCTATAGAAAGAGTTAATCTTATCTACCAAGAGACAGATGATTAGAGTCTCGCCCACCCTGACCAGTATTCTAAAAACCTTATCTTTGGCTGAAAGAAGACTTGGGTGGGATTCATTTGAGGCAAGATCTGCATCTCTGGCTATTGAACCCTTTTGGGGGGTTCCCAGCACCCCTAGACCTCAACGCTATTATTGGTCTTGCTTATACTACTTTGATATTAATCTGTTCCCAGAAACTCTCTGCTGTCTTACATTTGAACTTGCCTACTTCTCTCTTTCTTTGAATGAGCAATTTAGATTGTTAATTTACTTCATTTCTTCTTACTTATCTGTGTTTACCCTTTTGGTTCCTTCCCCTTCCGTGCCTGGTTAAGGAAGGAGTTCAAACTCTTTCCTTTCTTCTGTTTTTCATTTTATCCTTTATTTTGCATCATTACCTTTTGCATTACTCTTTTCCAGGAAGTTTTCCTTTGCTTTTTCCTCTTCATTATTTTTTTTCCCTTAAAAGTTTATGCTGAATTTTATTTCTTAATTCATGGACTCAATTTTTACATGTTCCACATTTTTCCCCTCTCTGTTACCATTTTTCAGAAGCTAGAACTTATGAAGTTCCAAAAATGAGTTCCCCCTTTTCTTGTTGTTGGTATTGACTTTGAAGCTGTGATTCAGTCTTCTTCTTGTTGGTTTATGCTGTATCTGTCTCTTAAAAATGTCAGTCCCTGAAGAACATGTCTGATGAAAATAGTGTTATGTGATAGGAGCTTTCTCTTTTCCAAATTATCAGGTCCTGTCCTTAGATCTGTCCCTGCCATCATCAGTCTATTCTTGAAGCTGTGTGGGACAGTGACCCCAACCCAAATTAAACTCAGAGACTTCTCAAGGTGGAAAGCAAAGGTTACCTTTATTACAATCTCATGAGATGGCTGTCTGCTCCTTTGATACAGGTGGAGAGAGAGAAACCGAGTAACAGGGGCTGCCTTATAAAAGCAAATCTCTGCCCACCACACAAACAAGTCTCCACCCACCACTATTCCTTACCCCCTTAACTGGAGGTGGGCTTACATTCTAAGCTTGAAAGTTTCTTCCTATCCTCTTAACTGGGAGGTGAGGCTTACATTCCAGGTGTGAAATTCAAAGACAAGGAGAGAGGCCTGAAGCCAAGGACAGATGGCTCAGGTTGGGGGTGGGGCAGGGCTTATTCTTTCTGTTAAGTGCTTAAAAACAGGGTCTGAGAGGGGGAGGATTTTGAAAGTAATAATCAAGAATTATTTGACCCTTTGAGGAGCCTTCACTTCTGACAGTTCATTTCTCACACTACCTTCTGAACTCATTACCTTAATCACACTGAGAAGTCTTCACTGGGACATCCCATTCAAAGTCATGTTATCCCATTGATGAGGTTTAGGGGTGCTGGGACCCCAAAATCACAACATGAGGGTCCTGCCCAAATGAATTTGAGCCAAGCCTTCTTTCAAGGCTTATTAAAGGCTTATTAAAAATCCACCATATTGGCCAGACTCTTAAGGAATCTGATCATTTGTGAGCTATTATCTAGGTTCTTAAGGAATCTGAGCATCTCAACAGAGACAAGATGGACCTTATATACAGAAAGACTATGGGAGGGATCTATGAGTGGCCAAGTAGTCTGCAGGGATCTGGACTACATGACCAAGGGAGAATGGAGCCTAAATAGGATTAATGGTGGGAAGTGGCCAGAGGCCATAAGGAGGTAAGACAGTGGAGGGCTAGGCTAGGTTAAGAGTAACAGAATTGGGAGATTGGGCATAGGTGACAACAGAAGACCAGTTGATGGGATGATAGCCTCAGGTGAAATCCAAAGATTTGGCCATGTGGAAAAGTCCAGAGTTTTTCCTTTCAGGGATCCAGATCTCAACCCCATCATTATCTTATGTTCTATATCTACCTTAAAATTATGGCTAT